CCAGAAATATTGAAAAATAGCACTTAAAGCCAAATTATTGCTATTTTTGTTTATCATATGGACTAACTGTGTCACACAGAAAATTTGAAGAAATTCTGTTTTCGGCCGAAAATCGAGTTGTCGGTTCTTACACGGACAGCCTCTTAAGTACCAAGGTTCAGGTACGAAGAAGCGATTGCGATGTTAGTAATTTCAACGGTAAAACGACTTCCCGCTTGGACGTGTCCAAGAGGAGGTCAACAGACATCGCTTGGCACGATATCGTGGTACTAGTTCTTACAGATATCGGCTTTGTATGTACTGAACATTTGACATGTTGGATTCGGCGAAGGCGGAAGGAAGTAGCTCTTTAGCCCATGTTACCTCTTAGTAAAGCCCGACAGTAAAATTAGATCGGCGTATAATAAAATTCTTGACTGAAAATCCAAAAGCAAGTCTTGGCCATAGCGATGCAAAGTTTACCGAAGTAAATATGTTAAAATGGTTTAAACTGGCTTAAAAGAAAAAAAAAAAATCAAAACACCAAAACAGTGTTTCACAAGAAAAAGAAGAACTAGCTCTTGGACATGTCCAAATGGAGGCCAATATTGAACGTGCAGGTATGAAGAGGAAAGTCAGCACTTCAATAGTTATATGATCCTTTCAATATATTTTTTTATATATGATATACGCCCGAAACTACACTTAGGAAGACAAAAAAATTGTCACGTCACGGCCATTCCTCTGATTACTTTTTACACGCGTTGGCTGCATTTACCATCACTAGGAGACGTGAAATGCAAGAAAAGTTCTCTCGCCAGGGTTTGCCCTGTACGGACGGTGACCATCGTGGAGTTAGAACTTTTCGTCGTAAAAGATCTTAAAAGTTCAGGCTACTTTAGCGTTCACTGGGCTTGATCATTAGTCAAGACTATTGCTTTTTTCGTTTTTCGAGTCCCATTTGTGTCTCCCGCTTGAGATGACACCGAAGACGAGTATTTAAATTGAAGCTGAGTCAATTTTTGACGGAAACTCCATTACAATTTTCTTTTCAGTGGCCCTGGTGTACCAGCCCCTCTCGACGACCCAATGGCGGCATCACTCAGCCCTAGTCCCCCCGTAGAACCCTCCAAACCAAGCTCCAAATTGTCCTGTGGGCTCTGTGTGGATTATTTTTGCGCATGCAACACTACAAGGTTTAGGTGGTACGAGTTAGAAGGAAAAGGTACGTACTCGACAAGTCGACAGGGATTGAACGTTTCTTGAGCCCTGATGAATAGTCCAGGTTTCAAGAAACTACCATAGCTCTTGACTGTTTCAGTAGTCTTATATGACTGAGAAAATTACTTCAATGTGGTTGGCTGAGAGTGGGCCAAGTTATCGTTTACTATTAATTTGCACTTAATTTGCGCCGTTCGAATTTTCCCTGTCATATAATAAATATGTAATCGTGCGAAAGCTGAAGCAATTAAGGATTTACATCTTTCGTAATATTTGAAAATTCTTTTAAATTGCACTCGCCTGATCTGAAGGCTCATCCAATTTTGAGAGAATTTCCATTTGCTGCAAAACATGGAGAAACTCTTGCGGAAGTTTGAGTGAAATAAATGAACAATAGCCTCCATTTAGCGCGAAAATATGCTCGGATATCTGCCCGCAGGTATTATCTATTCCGAGAAACGCTTCCGCCTCTCGGAACAGAAAATATCCGCGGACAAATATCCGAGCATATTTTTGAGCAAAAATGAAGGCTGCTGTGTTTGTTATCCTTCAAATATTTTTCGCAACACGCGCAGTTTTGAAAACTGGGAAATATCACTCTGATATTCTACAGCTAGGATATTCTCGGATATTCTTCTAGCTAGTGCATATCCACTCAGTCCACTCCTATGACGCGTTTAGACCAATCGCGCACAAGCGAAAATATTTGATGGATTATAAAGTGTTACAGAATTAGTGACTGGGCCATAATTTGGTAGTATGTATTTTTTGGTTTCATTTTCAGGTTGTTGCTGCATCCTCCTGCTTCTTTTGTTGTACCTGGTTGTCGGGGTTGTTTTACTCCCCTTTGCATGCCTTTGCTGCTGTCTTCTTTCAGATGGAAGTGGAATTAAGCACGTAGATATACCTGTCGACACCTGGTGAATTAAGATTTCCGATGGTAATGTTGCCGTTTCAGCTCTTTGCCAACTTTTGTAAACTTAATACCTTCCCTCAGGGAATGTAAAATTACAAAATGCGCTATTGCCTGAACAGCAGGCTTTACCTGATCGAAAACTAGAAGGCAACACAGATTACATTGGATCTAAACTAATGTTAGAGAATCGACGAATATAAAACGAGGAGTCTGCCAGTTTTTAAACTTAAAAGTTCTGAACAGCTTTTATTCTGCTAAGATCAGTTACATCTTCTGCTGCTACTCACTACAATACTCAAAGCACAAGAGCTTAGAATTAACTGTAGCTACTTCGGGATTCTAGTAAGGAGAGAATCAAATGACTTAAAACAAGGTACTCGAATGTAAACCCTGAAGGTAGACACTCACAACAGAGCTACAGTAGAACCCCGCTAACTCGAACTCTGAAGGGAAACGAAAATCTGTTCGAGTTAGCGGGGTTT